ATCAAAGCACGGTGGGCTGCCGCCTACAAGGCCAGGAAGGAGAACGCAAGCGTTTGGCCAGCATGCCCTGATAGCAGCATGTGAGAAGTAGTTTAAGTTTGTAGTATTAGAGCAAATTACCAGTAGTACTTTAAGTTTGTAGTATTAACTACAATGTCGGTAAGCATGTGTTCCCTTGTGCGTTTTTTGCGTTAATCATTAGGAGATCACAAAACACACGGTTTCTATGTCGTACCTGTGTGCGTTTTTTGGAGATGGGATCTACCAATTTTCTCTTTTCTCGCACACGAGTATTTTACGCGCTTCGTCTGTGTTGTGTGTTTCCCCCGCCCAATTTTCAAGTTTCGCAGTGAAATTTTCACTAGGCGCGCGATTTCATAATTTATTCCTCCCACCACATCCCCACCCATCAAATTTCCTTAGTATCCCCCCGCCCCCGCGTGCGCCTCACCCTACCGGCAGCTCAAACCGTCGCCGCCGCAACCACAACTTCAACCACATCTACGTTCTGCTTGGATCCAGTCAGGTAACCCACCGATCTCTATCACGGTCCCAGCCTAATTTCTTAAACGGCATATGTGAAACATCCTCATGCCTCCAAATCCCCACCGCCAGGAGCTAATGGCGGTCCATGACGCGATCGCTGCTGTGCGTGTTGACCCGGAGGAACACCTCATCTCCGCCGCCGCCGACATGGTGCAGGCTCTAGCCCAGATGAAGTGCCCCATTGACTACCCCCAGGACTTAACAGGTATGATTTGACCAGCTAAATCTTACCAATACCACTTGCAATGGCTATGCTTTGTACGGTTGATGTACTAAGCATGTTCATGCCTTGTTTATTTAGTACTACACACTATGTGATGTTCAAATATTAATTGTCCAGCTCAATTTCACCAATACCAGCAACAAACTTACAATACATGACTGAGGATATCACTAGAGATGCTGCCCATTTGCTATTTTGGTGAATGCTAACCCTGTTGTACTTAACATGCCTGTCCATGTACTTACGCAGGGTCATAACGGCCGATGTTGTTGTTTGCCGTTGAGGTTAGCTGCATCCCATGTCTTAAAGTATTTTACATCATTTGTGCAATTACAGTTTAACTTCTACCATTTACTGGTTGCCTGTAGGTACACATGTCAGTGGCACTGATCCATGCTTCGACCCGGAGGAACAGCTCGCCTCCGCCACCGCTGACTTTGGGAGGGCTCTAGCCAAGATGAAGTGCCCCAGAAACTACCTCTCAAGACTTACCAAATATGTACTCACCAGTTCAATCTTACCAATACCAGTTGCAATTAATGCATATGTTCTGTACGGTCGATGTATTAAGCATGTTCTAGTAAACATGCCTAACACATTTTAGCTAATTTCCCTATCTTTTTATAGACAATTGGGTCATTCTCTGTTCTGGCAGCACCTTCCTTGTGATGTTTAACTCTGCCGATTGCATTTTTATCAGTATCGGTTTCAATGGCTATTAAGCCTGTTGCAATTAACAGTTGAATCCATTTTTAAACAGTTGTATTTCAATGGCTACAAACTTACAAAACATGACTTAGGATGCCGTTAAGCCTGTTGCAATTAACAGTTGTATCCATTTTTTAATCTGTCCCTTTGCTACCATGCTACTCTCCGCAATGAAAATATACCAGATATGCTGCACATTTGCTATTTTTGATGGATACTAACCCTGTTGTACTTAACATGTCTGTCCATGTACTTACACAAGGTCATAACGACCGATGTTGTTGTTTGCTGTCAAGGTTAGCTACATCTCATGTCTTATAATATTTCACATCATTTGTGCAATTACAGTTTAACTTCTATCATTTACTGGTTGCATGTAGGTACATATGTCAGTGATACTGATCCACGCTTCGACCCGGAGGAACAGTTCGCCTCTACCGCCGCTGACTTTGGGCGAGCTCTGGCCAAGATGAAGTGCCCCAACAACTACCTCTCAGGACTTATCAAGTATGTACTCACCAGTTCAATCTTACTAATACCAGTTGAAATTAACGGCTATGTTTTGTACGGTCGATGTATTAAGCATGTTGTAGTAAACATGCCTAACATGTTTTAGCTATTTTCCCTACCTTTTTATAGACAACTGAGCCATTGTCTACTCTAGCAACACCTGCCTTGTGATGTTTAACTCTGTCAATTGCATTTTTATCAGTACCGGTTTCAATGGCTATTAAGTCTGTTGCACTTAACAATTATATCTATTTTTAAACATTTATATTTTAATGGCTACAAACTTACAAAACATGAATTATGATGCTGTTAAGCCTGTTGCAATTAACAGTTGTATCCATTTTTTAATCCGTCCCTTTGCTACCGTGCTACTCTTTCGCAATGAAGATATCACTACAGATGCTGCTGTTTTATTATCATTTGCTATTTTTTGTGGATGTTAACCCTGTTGTAGTTAACATTGGCTTTCCATGTACTTGCACACGGCTACAATGGATGATGATGTTGTTTGTCGTCGAGGTTAGCTGCATCCCATGTCTTATACACCATCTATTCTTAAATATAAGTATTTTTAGAGATTCCAATATAGACTACATAAGGAGCAAAATGAGTGACTCTAGATTCTAATCTAAACTATATCTATAATTCTATATAAATCCGTATATAGTTCATATTGAAATATCTAAAAATACTTGTACTTAGGAACATAGGAAGTTGTATTTTACATCATTTGTGCAATCTCAGTTTAGCTTCTACTGGTTGCTTGTAAGTACATATCTGAGCGGTACTGATCCACGCTTCGATCCCTTTTGCGTATGGAGCAATGATATATTCATGAACAAGCGTCAACTGAGGAAACTAAGAAAGATTGTTAGGCGAAAGAAATGGGTGATAGGAATTAAGCTCTTTATTTACACTTTGTCTAAGACAACAGTGAACTTTAGGATGGTAAGTAATGTGTTGCATTTCCACCCTGCCCACAAAAAAGTTACTCTATTAGACCTCAGTATCTGATATTTTTATTTTGTTAGTGGTTTTCGAAGCTATTTACCGATGATTATCTTGCAAACTACATAATCAGAGTGGAGGCAACTAAGGTTAAAGTATATAACGCATGCTACCATGATAATGCTCTAGAAGTCTTCCAGAAGGCGGTGAAGGATGGGCGGGCGATCGTCACAAGGGGTTGGAAAAAAGTTGTTCGTGCCTATGGCATGCAGGAAGGCACATTATGGGCATTCCGCTTCTTCAACACCATCGGCAGTCAAAATGATTTACATTTGTCTCTTCACCTTTATCGTCTGTAAATATCGTGGTTCATTATAGTTAATTGCTGTCTAATCTTGTAATTACTGAACATATTGTACTGCCAATTTTATTTATGGATTCGTTGTTGAACCATTGTGCTGAGAATTTGAATTGCATGTTTCATATTTCAAATTTCCAATTCAAATAATAAATTACACGGAAAAATAAAAACATACATGACAGAATAAAATAATAGGACACGATTAGAAAGAAAACAATGTGTGCGGTGAAAAAAAGAGAACATGCGGTTCTTTGACGTGAAACGTTTGCGATGCCGGACGGACACACACATGGTTTCGTCTCATATGTGTGTGCGATTCATGGTAATAAGACAAACATTTCAAACCAGTGTGCGTGTGTGATAGGAATACCAATCGCACACAGTTATGAAGATGGACACATTGGCGGTAGTAGAGGCACCACACATATTTTACATTCTTGAACCATGTGCGATAACGTACCTATCACAAACATATCGGCAGATTAAATATTGATGTCCACCTTTTTCACACGACTATAGCGACGTAAACATTTGGGATGTCTCTCTGATCAGAAACGTAACGTTGAGATGTAATGTGTGGGACTGGGACGGCTTCTCATACGTTTATTCTGTGACGATCGTCAGTAGCCGCCCGTCCATCCCCGAGGGTTTCTGAGTCGTGTGGGAAGAACCCCCTATCACCCACACTCACTTGACGACGGTTTCAAATGCCGTCGCGAAAACGGATTAAAAATAGTTTTATAACACCTTATGATACCAGTGCATTACATGTTTAGACAACATTTTCAATATTAACTCTCCTTCCCCAATTACTGAAGATAAAGGGTACGACTGCTCTCTGAGACTCCCATGAAGATGCGCAAACATTCCTAACACCAGCACTCCAAAGTTAAGCATTATGGAATAATGCTCTTGATAAAAATATTCCATAGACCAAAACGTTTGTAACGCCAATACTCCAACAGTAAACAAAATATTAAAATAGACGGATTTTTACAAAGATGCATGTTATGGAACAAAATACATGGAATAACACTCTATTAAAATATTTTCTGGACTAAAACATAAAACAACAAATTTAAAAGGAAATTAAAATAATTTATGGACCAAAGCATAAACAACAAATGAAAAAGAAAAATGCATAGATGAACAAAACATAAACAACAAATTAAAAAGAAAATGCATAGATGAACAAGAAAATGCATAGTTGAAAAACAAAAGAAACGTGGTCGGCAGGATTCGAACCTTATGGACCAAAGCATAAACAACAAATGAAAAAGAAAAATGCATAGATGAACAAAACATAAACAACAAATTAAAAAGAAAATGCATAGATGAACAAACATAAACAACAAAATAAAAAGAAAATGCATAGTTGAAAAACAAAAGAAACGTGGTCGGCAGGATTCGAACCTTATGGACCAAAGCATAAACAACAAATGAAAAAGAAAAATGCATAGATGAACAAAACATAAACAACAAATTAAAAAGAAAATGCATAGATGAAAAACAAAAGAAACTTGATCGGCAGGATTCGAACCTGCGCTAGCATAGCCCACATGATTTCTAGTCATGCCCGATAACCACTCCGGCACGATCACTTTTGTGTCTATTTGATGTTTTGCCGTTACATATTCGCGAAAGCGTGCCCATTATTAAGAAGACAAGGCCGTCCTCTACCGCTGTAACTTATCGTCGAAGAGTATGGCGGCGGCAGAAGCCTCTTCCTCCTCCCCCAATCCGCCGCGTGCTGACCTCCGCCGCCGCCAGCGCCGCCTCGTATTCGACCGGCGCTACGGATGGATGTACGAGTACACCGACCTCTAACCCTTTTACCCTCTCTCTCCCGGTTCTGCTCCCGCTGCGCTTTGGCTGACCATCTCGTTTGCTTTCTTCTCCCCCTCAGTTTCGACGAATGGACGGACCCGGCCGTCGCCGCCCTCTCCGGTGGCAGGGGAATGTTAGTATTCTCTCGCCGTCCGCCCGCGCTCCAGCACACTACGGCGGCCTTCTTCCGAGTCCTTAAATTTTACCCCCAATGCCCACGTGTACTGATTCTTTGCCCACTCCTGTGTTCCAGGTTCTGCATACTACCGATGGCTCAGTCGCTGATGAGCGCGGCTGCATCTTCGGTAAACGACTTTGTACAGATTAGAAACACGAGCGTGCTGATTCTTTTTTTTATTATTTTCCTGCGAATAGCTTATCCGAATTATAATTTTGTTTGGTTGCTTGCTCAATTCGGGCTTTGATGGGCTTTGAGCGAGCTGACTGTAAACCTAAGATTAGAAACTACCGCGTGACCTGATTGAATGATTCTCGAATGGTTTTGTTATTATTTACTTGGATTGATACTTGGTAGGATCAGATAAGCAGAGTTTTCCACTGTCATTACTAGTAGTTTCTTGTTTGGCGTTTACAGTCAACGTTTCGCTTGGTTTCGAGATTTGTTAGGATTCTTAGGTTTACAGTCAGAGTATTTTGCGTATCAGTTGTAGCTCACGAGATTAGATTTAACATATACTATGTGCACAAGAGATGAACCTATGGTTGCTTTCAAAATTATGTTCTAGTAAGTTCACAAAATTGAAGTACCCCATGAACATTTTAGCAATACGTAGGTTGCCTTTCCTACAAAAGTAGGTTGCGTTGTGATATTGCACATATACGTAAGTTAACCTAACTATATAAAGGGCGTACCCAGTGCCGAAGGCTCCCACACAAGGTGGGGTTAGGGAAGGGAATTTCTAGACAGTCTTACCCTTGCATAGTAATTCTGCAAGGAGGTTGGTTTGAACCCAGGACCACCAGGCCACAAGTGGAGAGACTACCACTGCACGACGCCCGTCCTTCATAACCTAACTATATCTCTTACTAAAAAAAACTTGCTTCATAGTGTAGTTAGTTACCAATCCCTCACAAAAAAAGGTAGTAACCATCAGTGTAGTTTCCATAGTCTTTCGCACCTTATATTGTAGTGCCATGGCAGACTCATCGATCATCTTTCGTACTTGGCATTAAAAGAAGCAAGCGATTAGCTGGGCTGGCTTGTCAGCATGGGATGATGTTAACTTGTTAAGAGATAATCGGTGGATATACATAAGAATTAGAAAAATTCTAATTCTATTTAAAATTAGAAATTAATCTTAGTCTTTTTTTCAAAATAACCAGAACACCACACGACTCAACAATTTTCAATTGAATTTCTTCTGAGGTTAAAGATACTCATATTCTTGTTTCATTTGGTGAATGTTCAGTAAAGATTAACAGATCTTTAACATCTTGGGAGACAGATAGAGAAAAGGGAGACAAATAGAGATATATAGTGGAGAGGCTGATACTCATATTTATGTTTCATCTTGGGAAAGTCTAATCTTGAACTCTCAACTATTGCCAGTGTTTAACTTCCCTCTTCTGTTAGACCATCATTTTATCTGCACCCTCATATATCAATACCATCCAATTAGATCCCAATGCCGGCTCGTTTGTGGTTTTTATGATGTGGCATGCTATTGTGTACTAGTAAGCATATAGGTGGTGGATCAGCAAATGAACATTATGTATTAAACAAATGGATTCATTTATCAGCCTCTCCACTCTATGGACACTATCTTTCTTTTCAGTCTTCACCATGGACACTGCTGCCATTATCCATGGCAGCTGCCAACCAACTTTCAAGCTACTTACAGTGCCAGTACACCTGAAGAAGTTTGCCATCACTACCACCCAGCCTGCCACCGCAAATCCCAACGGTACTATCCATGGTGGCAGATGGCAAGAAACCCTTGGTCTGCCACTACTGCATCTGGTTGCTCATCCACCTCCAGCCCTAATACGCCTGTCCCACCACTGGCTTGGCCCCTGATCACACCTTCAAGTCACTGCACCGGTATTGAGAATTTAGGGGGAAAATTAAATGTATTCAAACTTGGGTTGCAATAAGGCGTGTTAATGGCTGAGGGACAAAAATTAGACCTTTTTCTTCTGGATCAACTTGGTTGGATTACATTTTTTCCTTCACTAGTCACTACGCTAGCTTAAATGATGCAGTACTCCCTTTTCAGTTGCTCCTTGTTAGTCAGCACGTGCTTTTCAGGCCAGCTGTTTTAACTTTGACTCAATCTGTTGATGAAAAGCAAATTGGGCATCTGTTAATTCCATTTATATGTCACCAGTTTACAAAATGTATGACTCCATGCTTTTGCCCAATATACAGTGTCAACAGAACTTCTACCCATGTCTTTGCCCAAGAACAAATGTATATGTTGTCCTGTTAATATCTGAAGGGCATTATTGTGGTCAGATTGTGGTAGATGTTACTCCCTCTGCAAAGAAATATAAGAGCGTTTAGATCACTACGGAGGGAGTAGTACTTTATATGTACCATACGCAAAGTTGTAAACATTATAAGACAAATATGATCCTTTTTCTCCATGAATATTGAATATTGCTAGTTGACCATTCATGTCATCAACCATGCAGATCATTTGCGCATTTTAGTCATTGTTTCATAATAATACTCGACAATATTGTTGTCAATGTAGATGCTGAAGCACACAACTTTCACATGTGTGGCCATTAGTTAAATTAAATTTAACATGCCATTTGATTAGGTTATCCAATGCAATGCATGCTTGACATTTTTTCAGATACCCCTGTACAGAAGCTTAACCAACCAGTAGCTAATTACTGGACTTGTATTCTTTTACAGGTTGACTATGCAGCCGATTCAGTTAGCGCAGCTCTTAAACGCCCTGAAATTTTCTCCCCACTGGCATATCTTCCTCACCTGCAATTGCATAGGAAGCAACAAACTTGGTTCCACGGACTTGAGCGATCTGGAGTCGTAGCTGATACCAAGTTGATACCATGTAGTACTCTGTAAGTGGAATATGGAAAAAATGCACAAGTCAGTTATGTCGGCGAAACACGCGTGGCTTCCTAACAATGTCCGAAAGATAGCTTGGTCAAAATCTTGAAATGCTAGCAACATTTCGCCCGGTTTTGTGCAATTGGTTTTTATTACTTCCGTGTATCTTCTCTGTTATTATCCTTCTCAATACTTTTTGGATTAATTTCTCGTCCTGCTTGGGTTGAGGGCATTTTTTGTGTGTGCCCTAAAATACAGGGAACACACAAAAACTGCACTCACATGGATGGCATATTGTTTATGTCTTCGGAATCTGTGCACAAACACATTTGTTTGATGCGTTGATTCTGCATCCGTGCACAGATACATTTGGTTTTGCTGAGCTCCAGGGACACACATGATTTTCATTCTAGATGTAGACATGTTCCTATCAACATACTTCCTCCGTTCCTAAATGTAAGTCTTTGTAGAGATTCCACTATGAACCACATACGGATGTATATAGATGCATATTAAGAGTAGATTCATTCATTTTCCTCCGTATGTAGTCCACCTAGTAGAATCTCTACAAAGACTTATATTTAGGAAGGAGTACTAAAAACTATTGATACACCCACGAGCATTTTTTTATGTTGCCTCGCGTCTTTGGGCGACAAGACAATTAGGTTTCCCTGTCTCCCTTGGCGCTGCCGCTAGTTTGCCTCGTCTCTGGTGGCCTTAGGGCCATAAAGGCGCGGTGGACCCGACTCTTGCCGGGAGGGCTCCAACTCAGCTTTTAGTTACAAGTTTTCGGTTAGGGTTCTTCTTGCCTAGAGGGCCAAGGCGGCGGCGGCTTTCTGATGATAGAATAAGTTCCTCTCGCTCAGCCTCGCCCCGACGGTGCCTCTAGTGTTGTCGTAGGGCGGTGTGCAGATGTGTCTCTGACTGTTCTTGCGAGATTCGATCGATGCTGGTCTTTGATGGATTTGTTTGGATCCAGTCTATGTTCGTCTTTGTTTGGGCGGTGTCCTTCGAGACATTAGCACGACCTCCAATTGTCTACTACAACAAGTTTTTGTCCGATTAGCGAGGGACGATGACGTTGGCATGCATTCGGCTCGCTTCAATGCTTGTAATCGTCGCTAGATTTCGTTATACTACCATGATTGAAAATGTATTGACCGAAAGTTTTAAAACAAAGAGTCACACTTGGGGTCCATAACTTCGAATAGGGTTCAAGCGGACCTGCTCTCTTTGTCGGTCTTGACTCGCTCTTGAGATCCTATTTTGGTATATGGCTCGGTATTTACTTGTTGTACACAGTGTAGTCTAGTTGATGACATGTGGATTGAGTGTTGTTTGTTAGCGGTATCTTCCCCATAAAGACCATTGTGAGTATTGTTAATTCTGCAAAAATGTTGAGCTAACAACTGACTTGTAAATGCTTTGAAGGGGGCCAATAATTTGTACTCCCTCTGTAAAGAAATAGAGTATCACTTTCTTTCTCAACTGCACTTTTCGTTCTCAACTGCATCATTTCCTAGTTATGAAAATGTTCACTCCAGAGTGTCACACCCTATAAGTCGCACTTTTCAATGATTTTCGACAGGTTCACAATGTATATCTTACATTTTTTGAAACTCGAGAAGTAGTTTTGAAAATGAGATGTAGCGCCAACTAAAAGAAACTAGATCAGTAGCGGGAGGAGCCCCCTACGGCTTTTTTAATTAAGAGAGACAGTGAGACACACATCCGAACTAAGGTTCTGCCCCGCGCCAGCTGAGAGGCGCCGCTGCCCTCTAGCGACTGGGCTATGAGCCCATCCGCTTGTAGCGGCAGTTATATTGTGCAAAATCTACTTCGAAACCTAGAATGTTGGATTGACTTGGAAGGGTGATAAATAGTTATACCTTATAACTGCTTCAGATATCATTTTGAAGTTGTCTCTGAAAGCAACACCGTGTTTCTCCATGCTTTGTGCAGTTATACAATACACAAGTTGAATTTCTGACTTACATGTGATGTCACGTTCAATTCCGACTTCACAGATACGTCTAGGTTTTGAAAAGAGCGGGGGCTATCTCAAAACAGAAAAAAGAAGAAGAATCAATTGCTCAAATAAATACAAACTCCCCATGTTCTCGTGCGAGCCAAATTCAGGACAAAACAAATTTCAAAATCTCTCAAGTTCTCCCCAGGATTGGAGCCTTATGGCGCATCAAGGAAGATTTTGCATTTGTTGCCCCACATGTTAAGGAGTGGATCAGTTGTGGGCTGCGGTTATGCTTATTCACACTTGAACACTTGCGGTTGTGGGCTGTGGATGCTCCTACGCTGATCGATAGACAAAATTTTAAATTTGTGAACATTTTAAAATATATTTTCCGTCAATGACTGAACAATAAGCATACAATCTGCATATTGGCAATAAGAGAAACAACATATACTCTGTGTGTGTCACACGCGGCTTTCCTTCTACTCCCTTTGGAAAGAAATATTAGAGCGTCCCATAATATAAGAACGTTTTTAACACTAGTGTAGCGTTAAAAACGTTCTTATATTATGGAACGGAGGGAGTAGTTAATACCAAAGACCGTCATATCTCTAGTGGTAGAAACTAGCACCAAGAAGCAGCTGATGTCCGACGATTGGAACAAGAGACACATGAGATGAAAAGTTGGGAATGGCATTAAGTACTCACACCATTAACTTTATGCAACACGATTGTTTCCAGTATTTGGTATGACGAAATGATTTCATAGTTATCTCATTCGCCAAAGACTTGTTCCCAAAACAGTCAATGCAGAACCGGGAAACACCGAAAGAAATTCCAGAGTGAGAGCCAGCCTAAAATAGATATCACGACCTCCAATATGATCCATGCCACAATGGTTGCAAAACAGTTCAATTTCGTTGCGCTTCGCACTGGTCATCTACTGAATCCGAATGAATGTGCAGTGGCCCTATATCTGGGACTTCTTCAATACCTTCAGCAGGCTGAGAGGGAGAGAAACCCCGTTATAATCTCATCAATCTCCAGAAAATAAGAAATGCCTAGGTAAAAAAGAAATACCTGCAGGAATTCTAGAAGGCACCACACAAGGTAATTTATGATCATAACGAGGCAAAACAGCTTGCCTGCCCAAGCTCCACATGTGAGATATCTACAACATTACGGAAACACAACGTCAGTGACTTCCTTTTGCGTTTGCATGCAAAACTGTGGCGGTATTGCCCACACTTTGACCAGTAGAACTAATCATTATACTCCCTCCGTCCTAAAATAAGTGTCTCAACCTTAGTACAACTTTGTACTAAAGTTAGTACAAAGTTGGGACACTTATTTTGGGACAGAGTCCGTCCTAAAATAAGTGTCTCAACCCTAGTACAACTTTGTACTAAAGTTAGTACAAAGTTGAGACACTTATTTTGGGACGGAGGGAGTATGAAATATAGAAAATGGAGAGTTAGCACTTTGACATACAATATATGCAAGGACAGGTGGCAATCCAAAGGAAAAACCTATCTTCAGCTATAACTACTCTGCAATGAGTGACAGAAGATGAATTTACAGTCCGTGTTCTGCCTTATACTCACCGAGGAAGACGATCTAGCAAATTAGTGTTTGATGACTGCATTGCACGATCGTAGACAATCTCTGTTCTTTTGGCCACATCATCCCAACTGTAGAGTTTTTTCATCTACAATGCACATTAGATTTGAATAAGCCCAAGAGAACTTGCATGTTAATTTTCTACTAAAAAAAGCTGGTGCAGTAAGGTCAGCTAGGTGCATAGAGTTGAAACTCACCCGGCGATGCATAATTTGGGGATCTATACCAGGAAGTATGTCGATAGCTTGCCTCACAGCCCGTACCATATCTTCTGGATCTGGTTCTGCAAGTACTATCATGTCATCTGGTAGAACCTGAAAAGGAGTAATTTGTCTGCAAATTGTCCAACTAGATGAAATTTATGGCTCTCCACAAAAGAAACTATGAAATCATAAAGGGCATACCTCTGGAACCCCTCCGACTCTAGTGCTTACTGTCAAAAGCCCACAGCTTGCTGCTTCCAGAATGGCTATGCAAAATGCTTCTGTAAGCGAACTACAGTAGCAAAGGTTACATTTTACGTCTCAGTATTGCTATAGTTAATTGCACTATGCACAACTGTCATAAACAAGGTTAACTCATCCACCTTCTAGTTTCCCAATAATATAGGATTATGTAAGTGAAAAAAACGAAACCAAAAGCACTTCTCTTTCTTTGCATTAGATCCATGAAATATATACTTATAATTTCACAAGAAATACACCCACAACATCATTACATTTTATCAAATGATATTGTACATGCATGTTGGAAGCACCAGAGGCTCACAGGAACAATTCAATAATATGGTACAAATATGACCAACTACAGAAAAGATCCAAAGCGGCTCAAAGTATCTGTTCGAGGAGAGCGCTAATCATTTCAGACATTCTAGTACAACAATTTTAGCTACTCTGTGAATAGCAATGATCATTGCCACCGATGCCTTGGACTTTTAGAATTCAATGGACAGTTTGGTAAATGCAACTTCCTTTGTCGCAACAAAAAAACATAAAATTGGAACCTGACAAGACTATTTCAACACACCAGAGTATACAATAATCGATGGTAAAGTAAAAATACATTAAGAACAGAAAAAGGCACATATATAACCAATAATCTAGATATTTTGAACACAAAAGAATGAAAACTCAGAAAGGTACCTGTTCAGAAATATATGACCGGATATCAGAACAGATCGTACTTGAGCATGAGGTACAGCCCCTAACATCTCAACTCTATCCTGAAGGGAGAACTTCTCCCTCATCTCTTCAAGCCGCACACGTTTTGGACCATCACCTCCAACAATAAAGCGAACCTGACAAATCCATAGATTTATTAACTGAGGGAACATAATCCACTATAAGTCCAAAACAAGATAAGAGTAAGAAAGTAAAGATGCAAGATGATAACATATGAACCAAAACATTCTATCAAGCTGAAC